GATGATTTCACATAGTTTAGGCCACATAAGGTCCTCTTGCTCTACTGAAGGCTGATGCCAGAACTCTGGGCGAGCTGATCAGAACCCTGCTAAATTAAGGAGTAATTGATCACAAGAGAGGTAGAGAGGTGACCCACAAATTCCAAGCAGGGTGTTTCCCCAAAGTTAAAGTCTGAACCGAGTCACATGGGCGATGCTAAATTAAAGACGCAAGCGTGAAGATAGTGCAATCTCTCCTGCCGCCCATTTCTTGATGTTGAGCTTTGCAGCACCAGTTCTGAGTGCCTCAGCCAGTCAGACATTAGACAGGTTACAGGAGAGACAAGGCCATTCAACCCATTGCTTGTAGCCTTCGTTTAGAGCTCTGGCTCATCCCCAAGGGCCAGACGTTGTCGTCTGTAATTAGCAAACACTCACCAGGAGGACCTGAAGAGGAAATGCATTGCCGTCTTGACATTTCTGGAAAGAAGCTTATACTGTGTGTGAGCCCACATGCCACAGAAGCAAATATGTGTGTTACATACAATGCATGTTCTTTATCCATGGGGCTTCACTGCTCCAGGGCACTGGGGTGAAATTGGGCTTTTTCTGGCCTGTCAGTGTGTTCTCCAGGTGCTCCAGTTTCCTCCCGCAGTGCAAAGACATGCTGTCTGGGTGGAATACCATCTTTCAACTGCTCTCTGCGTGTGTGTTTATGTGAATGAATGAATTTTACTTTCTGCCAAGAATTTGGCCAATTCTCTCAATCTAAGAACAGAGGGACCTGATTCCAACAACAGCAGTACCAGCACACACCATATGCCGTACCTGTAACACCTCCTGCAAGAGATCACGGCCTCACACATTCGGTCATACACATTCTCTAACAGCACTAACAGTTCGTGTGTGGGTAGTTGTACACCTGGCACTGGACTGGCAAACCCCCACCCCACCCCCCCCTCGCACCCTGTGCCAGGAGGGTGAGGCTCCAGCTCAGGGGAGGGTGAAAGGTTCATGAAAGGGTTCCTGACAATGGATAGACTGCTACTCCACATACGCTCTGTGTGCCCAGGAAGTGGACTTCTAAAAGGGGGGTAATAGTTTTTTTTTTTTCAGGGAAGCAGAGTCCGTGCAGACAGAGACACGAGTCACAGGCAGTGTTACTGTTAAATCAGGAGAAGTGAAGACGCAGGATACAGCTGGCTGTGACTTCTGGTCTTCCTCATTCTCTGCTGGGGGAAAACGCCACTCCAAGACACTTATATAAAACCATATACCTGCGTCATCATTCAGAACACCAGTGCTACACCTGGCTATTTCTATTAGAGGGGTATTGAGATTTTTATCCTGTTAAACCGGGGGTGCTCCCCCTTTTACAACATATTGAAAACAATCCGTTTCTTTGTGTGCACCTCTGAGACGGAGAAAGCAGGTGAAGAAAGCAGACCAGCTGGTACTCGGTGAGGTGCCCTGGTCCAGTCTGCAGGAGGACAGACACGATCTCTGCTCTTCCGGCAGCAGGAGCACAGAAAGCCCCGGCGCGGTGCAGGACCACTCCCTCTGCTCCCAGGCTCAAGCACGGCATGCAGGGGGTCATGGAGTGCCGCCGGTAAGGAAATGAGTCACTGAACTTAATCTGAGAAGGACAACTGAGAGAACATTGATCTGGTACTGCATTCAGGGACGTGCCCTGTTTCCACAGAACCCGGAAAGTCTGAAACTGTGTTCCTCCTAGGGTTTGTCACCGCTATGACTGTTGCTTAACTACACAATAGATTGATTGGTATGAACAGTGTTTAAATACACAATAGAAATCTCTCCTATTCACCAATTGTAACACGGTTTACATTAATAGTCCAATTCAACTTGCCTGCCCCCCTACTGTAAACTAAAGAGACAGATAAGGTACATTAAAATCAAAGTGTTTGATCTGTCTATAGCCTGCACAGGAAATAGGCTGAGAGGCATTAAAAATGCAGCAAATGAATATTGGAACCATTTGTAATGGCTCTCAATATAGTAACACACAAAGTAGTTTGTGCTGAATTTCTTAACTCATTTCCCAAAACTTTGTTCTATTTTAAAGATCAAGTACAGTGTTATGCTTATCCTGGCACTGTTAAATGTATTTTCTTCCAGCAACATTCATTTCTTACTTAATCTTAATTTGACTGCTAAGTATTCAATCCTAAAAAAAAATACCAAAAACTCATGTCCTAAAGAGAGACACTACTGAGTGTGAGCAAATTTAGAGGCAATGCCAAATCTCACTTTAACAAAACCTGCATTAAAAAGGCATCACAGAGCACAGACGTTCTATGGAAATCCCCATTCCAAAGATCACCAAGTGTTTCCGTCAAAGCATGTTATATATCTGCTACAGTATGGGCCCTCCCTAGCATGACTCAAACATGCATGGAACATACAACACATTCTAGGAATGTGAAAAAAGGAAGAGTCAGCTCAAAATCATCCAAATGTGAGACTTCAAGGTAAAAAGCTGCCGGGATCATTCAACTTGAGAGCTCTACTCAGACTGAAAATGGATGAATGCCAAATTAGAGCAAGGCTCTTGGGCACTGAGGTGACCCACAATGACTCTCAAAGCACTCCTCCTCCAGGACAACACCATCAAAGCAAAACTTGCCCGCAAGACTCGTCTTTGCTCAACACGACTGCTTCTCAATCTGTGTGTCACCACACCTGGCCCAGCTAATCCTGTTCAACACAACACCTTGTTTTGCCCATTCACCTGCTTTCCTTCTCAGCCAGCTCATGTGGACTCCTTCCCTCACGAAACAGGCTTCTTGGCCCTATCTCAGGGCAACCCTGGCCACCCTGCTCATTTCTGTGGCACCCTGTTGAGTTTCTGGTCATTCAATTTCCATCCACTTGCCATCAAGTCTCTCCTCTGCCCCTCTGTCTCCTATTATTACCCCTCACGAGCACAGGAGTCGGTCCAGAGAACTACACATCTCCTTAAACCTTGCCCCCTGACTCATCTCCATCTTCCTGTGGTATTCCTCCTCAGCTTGCCTCCTCTGTCCCTCTGCTCCGTGCCGTCCAGATTCGCCTCCCCTCTCCCTCCTCCCCGCTCCACGCTCCTGCCTGCCACCTCTCTCTCTGCTTTCCCTCCACTCAAGGGTGAGTCCCCCTGAGTTCACCCGCTGTCGCCGAGATATTAAAACAAATCAGCCGTGAAATAAGCTCCTTCCTCCGTCCTTAATCTAGCTGTCGGAATTCATTCCTGTCTGCGTCAGGTATGTTCACCCGCCTAATGGAACTCCTTTCTCCTACAAGCAAAAACAGCCCTTTCCAAATACACACAGACCCTTCACACGGCCCTTTGAAGACACTCTGAAGAAACTGGTCCAGCTGCAGGCTTCCTCAGTCCCCCTTGGCTTTACCTTGTCACGTGCAGCATATGGTGGTCTTGGCCTTAGACCTCACCCCAGGAGGTTGCAGGTTCGAGTCCTAGCTGTGTCCCTGTCTTTTGGCATGAACCTATTACTAACTTTTTTTTTTACGTTCTCTCCTTAGGCTCAAGTGACATAAAACGGAGGCGAACTGACTCTTTGCGAGCAGCTTCATCCTCGCCTCTGTAAGGTGAGACAAACGTCCTGTCTTTATACTTGTAACCTCTGAAGTACAGACGAAGAAGCTGATTGGGTTATTCTGATGTTCCGGCACATCCGGAGATCGTACCTAAGAGAATCCTCTACGCAAGCGATACATGGTGAAAAATAAACCGTGGAACGGTGGAAAATGCAACTTAAAACACAAGAGACACAACCAACAACAAAGCAGTGCTAAATTTGTAAGATGGTTCGTTTAAGAGAAGATTTCTGGTAGATCTCACTGCCCTGGGATGGGGAGAACACCCAGGCAAGAGGATAGTCATTTTCAGAGCATGGATTGCGAGGCTGCTCTGTACTACACAACATCTCCGTCACATGGGATGTCTGAGTGGTTCCCAGCGTGGATTCTACAGTGTTAGCGCCTATTTCTTTGGATGGCAACAAAAACAAGGAGACAACACCAGAATGCGTGGAGGTAAACAGAGCACAGCACTGTCACAACACCACTTCACCTCCAGACGCATGTGCAAAAAGAGAATATGTGCTTTTCGGTTTCCTGAGAGTTTGAAAGCATTGCACTCTTCTTGCCCTGTGTGCAGATACTTTACATGAAGCTGCTTGACTCCAGGTAAACACGTCACCAGCAATCATTTGAGTACAAGGCTTAGTCGGCCATTAACAGCAACTTGGATGATATCATTGATAATGCACAACATTTGCAACCTGACACAACTCCACCAAAGGGCATCCAATCTAAAATCCCCCTCTGTTTTCAATAAAATCACGCTGGACCCTGACTCTCATGGCTTCAGTTTATTACAGTAGAGGCGTCAGTGCCCCCTGCCTTAACCTGTGCTTCTGAAAATCCTCCCAGGGCATTTTTAATTAACCACTTTAATTACCTTTTGGCCACAGCGATGGTCTAAAGACTGCCAGTATAATTCTTTAAGACATCTTCCAGAACGCCGAATCAAAATCTACTTTGAATATGTGCACCTACAGGTAGGATTTAAACATAGGGAATAAAGACACAGTAGGAAAGGGTGGGGGACTCTGTCCACAAACAACCAAGTGCCCCTTCACCTCAAGTGACTGTCACACCCCGGGGCAGTGCTGGCCGGCGGGGGGTTGTGGAGAATGAGCAGGGGGTAAGAGAGCAAGCACCTCAGAACACGTGGAGACGGAACCTCTCGGAGCGAACGCCTTGAAACTGGGATCCGGCTGTTGTTGCTTTAAAGGCGCAGGAAACGCGCTACGAGACGGGTTTTCGACGCAAGAGCTAGGCCGTGCGCTGCAGGCTGGGCCCAGGAACGGCCGGGCATGTGAGGGAACGAGAAAAGTCGGACGGGAGGGGGGGTTGGTTTGTCAGGGAGCAAGCACCAGACGAAGAGTCAGGGAGTGTGAGTGTGCGCTGGTACGAGAGAGAGAGAGGGAGCAGGGTACGAGCGCTGGCAGAGGGGGGGGGGCGCGCCGCCGCCGCACGGGAACAGAACGCCAGCTCCCCGCCCCGTGAGCGCGCAGCCGGAGAGATCCGCACATCAAAGGCGCACAGAGCGGGGCCGAGGGACCCGGTGCAGGCGTGCGGCTCAGCCCTTTCAAGGCAGCCCTGGAGGGCGGCAGGCAGGGGAACGTGGGGGGAGAGAGGGGGCAGAGCGTGGCCGCGGAGACCCAGGGACAGGCCCCTGGCTCACAGCGCGCTCCCTCTCCAGCCTCCTCGCTCTCTCCGGCGGGGTCGGACTGCCCCGTTGTTTGTCAACTTCGGTCATTTTTTTTTCTCTCCATTCAAACAAGAAAACAGTGCTAGAAAAAGAAAAGCTTTTCCTCTCACAGCAGAGGGAGATACGTCAGCCATGCGGGCAGATAAATGTTTGGCGCTACGCCTTGAAAACCAACAAAGGATCTTAATACGTTGAGAAAACATGTGAAAAACGGGGCTTTTCTCCGCCACAGAAAAATGCATTTTATCTAAAGATGTGCAAATGACAACAAAGCATTACTAGTGCAGTCCTAACAATATAGAAAGCTTTGTGTCTCAAAGATGGCAGGACAGGTTTAATTTCATTACTTCCAGAAACAGGTTTTCCAAAGTGTCACAATGTTGCTGTGACGTATTTTAGACGCCGCCACAAAAAAAAAACCTTGAGAAGCATGCTCAGAACTGCTACCTGTTACTTTACTGAGGATGGATGTCGTATGCCAGATATTTTGCTATGCTTTTACAAAAAAAAAAAATTTTTTTAAAGAAAAAAGTTGAGAAATATCCAGTGGATCAAGGATCACGTAATTCTTCTACAGATCTGGCTTTGACGCATTCACATGAATGTACAGTGCACACTTTCACAACATCACGCAGGACAAAAGACAAATGTGGAACATTATTACATAATTAGCATTGCTGTCCTATTCAAATACTCTTTTCTAGGCGAAATCCATCATCCCACTCTGCAATTCCAATTGCTCCCACTCCCTGGATGCCGAACATTCTCCGGAGCATTAGGGCACGGAACAATAGCGCCGAATGCCTCTTTGCATAATATCTTTATTAATCAGAAAATACCAGTACAACCTCGGATTATTACATCCGAGCTTTGAGGGGAGGATTGGTTTCATAAACAAAGAGATAAGATCAAAACAGAAAGCAGTGCTTCTGGATGGCAAATCGTATTTCAGTGGCATCGGGGAATGTGTTTTTATCCACTTTATATCGCAGCCTCCAAGACGGGTGATGTTGGGGGGGAGTAGGGTCTCCCTCAGGGTTAGGTAAGTCTGTTCCACCACAGCGACTGGAGGTTTGCCTATTTTAGAGTGTGAGACACTTAGCGCTGCGCGTTTCCTCTGTGTTTGCTCCCCGACAGCAGCAATTTTTTTTTTTGCTGCTCAAATAAATCCATAACGTCCCCACAGAAATTCCTTTGAAAAGGAATTGCACAGAAACAGAAATCAGAGGGCGTTTTAAGAACGTTCTTCCCCATTCGAGTGAGGAACTGTGAGTTCTCTAACAAAACTGTTAATTGTCAGTTGGACTGCGCTGGGCTGCAGAGAGGTTTGCTTTACTCACTTTTGGAGCTCAGAATTCATTTCTATTATAGACTTCTCAGCTTTCCTTGAAGCTTTTGCTGATAGTGGGAGAATTGCATTTTTAATGTGGCACACATATCTGCTAACTGCGAGGCACCTTCCAGTCTATTTTTTAACATAATTTCTACTGAACAGGACGTACTGGAGACAGGCAGAACATGTGAATAAAGCTGAACAGAGATTACCTCCCTTTTAATCATGTTAAAAATGATTAAAGAAAAAAAAATCTTAAAAGGAAAACCAACTGCAGCAGGAACTGATGTAAGAACTGTAAAATCCATTAGGCAGGAGAATTGTTCTGGAAATGTTTGTTTTGAGGCCTCTGTGTCTCTTTCATCTATACGTGCTATGCCACACCAAGCACCCCAAGGAGCTAGCTAGTGTTAAAATTTGATAAGCCATGCTGTGTAACCCTTACAGACTACCTGACATCTTCCGAGCAAGACTGGGAGAATCTCTTTTCTTTAAGGGGAGGGAAAAAAAGTTTTCACTTTTTAAAAGCTGAAATGCTAATTGCATTTCATCTGGAGGCAATAGAAAGGGGCCTTGTGAAGCGTAATAGTGCTTTTATGATAAAGTCCTTTGTGACATAAATAAACGAACACAATGCATACAATTAATAGAGGTTTAACTGCACTAAGGCTAATTTCTGGTTCTTTTTCTGCGTCTGTTTCTGACAAGAGAACTTTCTGGCAATTACCATTCTGTTACCATGGTTATTACAGATAATTCCAGGTTATTTATGCCTAAAGTGCCAATCACGCTAAATCCTTACCCATTCATTATCTTAGCCAGGTTATTTTCTCGAACGGCAAGTGATTTATCTTGCATGATTGTAATCACAAATTGGATCCAGTAGTTCATCGTGAAATTGAATTGTCACATTGGGAGCACGAGCACTACATCAAACTCACCGGCTTACACTGTTTCCACAATAAAACTGTCATTACGAGCCATTTGGCAGGGGGCTTTCGTTGTAAAGCTGGCTTGTTTGTCACAGCCTGCGGACTGGGTTTAGTTGTAGGCTGTGCCAAAATGTGACTTTATTGCAGGCCCTACTGGAATCGTCAGGGCGTTTGCGGTCTCCTTGGCAACCGAGTCCTCACATTGTCTGCGCCAGTGTTTTTAATAGTCCAACCCTCTCCTCCGGGGTTTCAACTATATGATTCCCCCCCCCCCAAAGAAGGAAGAGAAATGCTGTGACAAAGAGGCAGATAAATGTCCACGAGCTTATCTAGGCCGCAGAATTCTAGCTGAGCAACCTTAGCAAGGGGTAAGGTCACACTGAGGTAAATCAAGCCCCGGTAAAGTTATTTTTCAGTCTGTTTCCTGACTTGCAGGGCTGACTGTTCTTGCTAAGTCCTGGCAGTTACTGGCATCGCCAAAGCACAGTAGGCCGTCTTCCAGTCCCATGATGCATTTTTTTGGAAGATCTCGGCTACAGCAGACCTGCAGTGATTTCAGTAATCCCAGGCCTGGAGCCAGTGGGAAGGCAGGCAAACCGACACACCCCCCCCCCAAAAGCTCATTATCTGCGACTCCTAACCCTCCCCCCCCCAAAAAAGCTCATTATCTGCCACTACGTCACGCCTTGACTGTCAAAGAAAAGGTTTTATAAAAACCTGTGTACGGTCACCCCTTGCCTACTTGGTGAATCCCTGCTCAAGAACAAGTACCTCTCCCTTTCCCCTCTAAAAGAATATGGGGGGAGCCAGGCCTGGAAGGTGGAGAAAATAAGTGAGTGGGGGACCCCCTCCTCCCCACCCAGAAAGTAATCGAAATCTGGCCCTGAGGCCCTGAGACTCTCCTTATGACTGGGGCACCTCCTTACAGCAGGACAGGTCAAGGACCTCAGCTGTCTCCTGGACGGGCAGAGTACTTTCACTTCTGATTCAATTTAGACGTCAGCACAGGCTGAGGAAGTTTAGGCAGTGCAAGGGAGCCACTGTAATTACGAGGAGATCACCTGTACTGTTCCTTCCTCCTGCCTCACCTACTGTATGTGATAGTTCAGGTGGGGAGCTGCATCAGCATGCGTAGGCTGCAAAGGAACAAGTAATAGGTTTATTCCATGCTGAAAAAAAGAAGAGAGAAAAAACACAACGTTTCTTCAGGTGTGGACACCTTTTTTCTCTCTTCTTTTTTTCAGCATGGAATAAACCTATTACTTGTTCCTTTACTGTATGTGATGCTGACTTTTGCTGTGAAAAACCTGTTCTGGATGCTTGAGGAAACTCCAAGAGTTTTGATGTTTATGCCAGTGGTGTTGGAATTCACTGGAAGAACCCCATCACTTGCAGGAAGGGCTACGAGCTCTGCAAAAAAAAAAAGTTTTGTTTATTTTGTTCTTGTTTCAAATGACATCCTCATTTGCAGCTTTTAAAACGTCCTCGCAGATTCAACCGGCAAATTGATTCTTAAAATGTTTGCTTTTTTTTAATTAACTCCTAAATTAGGGTATGCAAGCTTTTAAGATCCTTGGAGGTGTTTTGGAAATTAGTTGGTTAATTAACTTATTGCGTTGCTGGCAGCTTGCCAAGCCATGGAAGTAACAAGCCTTAGGAAATAAAAGACAAGCCCTGCTGTTTTAGACTTCTGGCTTGAAAGCCAAGCCGTGGAACTGACTTGCTCCTCTGAGTAATAATTTCTTATAAATCAAATCTATTGAACATTATTGAATCGTTAGCAGCACTGGTTAGGGACAACTCTCCTAAGTGCACAGAGCATGCATTGTACAGGACGGGCTGTGCAGAGATTGTGTTGCAATACTGTTTCCCCGGGGCTGATCTTTAATAACATCTTCAGTGAACTCTCAATTTCCTAGAGACCCATCTATTCTGAATCTTGAGACGATCACTTTAAGTCTCTCCTCTCCTCCCACCCAGCCCTGCTTTCTCTGCTGTGTGAGGGGAAACTTTGACATTTAAGATTTTGTCTCCCTAAAGAAAAATCCCCATTAGCACTGAAACACTGACCTGGCCCCAGACTGAGATTAGTTTTGTTGTTTTTGTTTTCTTTTTTTAACTAGTTGACAGGGAAGGGCCTCTCTTTAGCTCCAGGATTAGTCTAATCATGCTTCTCAGATTGTTCCTTTATGTCCCAGCAGGACAGTCTAACTACTGGCTCATCTCCGGTTTGAAACAGCCAGGGAAGGGTTTAAACTGTTTCCCTGACAATCCAAATTAAAATCAGGAACAAGTAAAGGTTTATTCCATGCTGAAAAGAAAAGAGAACATTATGGCCGTGGAGCCATCTTGAGTTGTGCTGAAACGTTGTGTCTCTTTTCTTTTATTATCAGCATGCAATAAACCTTTACTTGTTCCTTTGCAGCCTACGCATGCTGACACAGCTCCCCACTTGAACTTTTCCAAAATAAAGATCAGACCTGTCAAGTACCAGAGAAATGTCTTTTAATACCACATTTTGCTCAGAATTAACAAAAGAAAATCAGGTTCACCTGGCAGCAGCGTGGAGTGTGTAGTGATCAGGCCTCCTGACAGCATGTTCAGATCACATTTGCACCCTTGGGCAAGGTACCAAGCTCAAATTGCTCCATCCATGTTCCAACTGCTTTTTCCAATACAGGGTAGAAGGGGAAACCGGAGCACATAAGGGCAAGTTCAAACCACTCCAGTAAATTCAATTTACATTAACAAACGCTGCAAATAGAGAAGCAGTAGCAATAATC